CAATAAACTGTGAAGTCATTGTTCACTGGTACTGAAGGTCTGAAATGTTTGTTTGATGGGTCTCAAAAGTCAACTCAACTCAACAAGCCTTTATATTTCACTTCTATGTCAAAACAGGACCCATGTATTTGGGCTAAATATTCTGGACAAAGGCCGTACATTGTGTTCTTCAGAATTTCTTTTATTTTTTTATTTTTTTGATCAGGAAAAGGGAAATTTATTGATGAAATTGAATTCGTTGCAAAGTAAACACAACAATGTACATCAATAAAAAGAGTTGGCAAGACACCAACAAACAGGAACCAGAAAACCAGAGAGAGAGAGAGAGGGAGCGGCGGAAGTAGAAGTCTTGATTTTAGAGCAATCTTTCTCAATTACTCATCCGAGGATGACCATTCAAAGTAGATCTCCCAGTACAGAAACTATAGAGATGTGAAAGATGTTCCGATTTTTTATAGATTTTTGAACACCATCTTATCAACTATAGCTTCTTGTTCTTCGTTCCCTAGGTTTTTCTTCACAATAATGTCCTCCAACTTCTCAAAGTCATATCGAACCAAAATTTCTACTGAGACATTAGCCTCCTCAGGAAACAAAACATAAAGCAACAAGCAGGACTTGGATTCCTCATCCGGCAGGTAATCATAGCTCAACATAAGACTTCCATACACTTATTGATTGACAAACTGAATTTCTATGGAATTCTTGAAATTTTATACCTTCAGTCCACTTCAAATGAAATGTGGCGCCAAGTCGTACGAATAAAATCAGAGGCATATCTGAAGTGTAGAATTTCCCAATTACATAATAATGTATAAAATAGAATTACCTCTGCTTTGAAATGGATTTGCACAAACTGATTCAAGTCCATTCATTGTAGCGGTATTTTCCCGAAGTTATCAAATACAACTTCCTTCAGTGTTGGTGTGCTTTGAATCCTGCTGGATGTAGTGGCAGCGGCAGTGAAAATCTTCATTTTGGGCCACTCTCTCACTCTTAGTTGTTCCAAGGATGACCATTCAAAAGGAAGGTATTCTGTGCGAAAACCACTTAGGTTTGGAAGGTATTCAAGCACACCATTTTTACACTTCAATGCTTAAGAAATATGAGAGGTAAAAAGGTCCCATATCGGTAGAAAAGCAAAAGAAAAGTCTTAATGGCAAGGTTTGGAAGGTGGGTTTGGGTGGATTTGAGGTTAAAATCGTCATAAAAAATAAAATAAGTTTTTTAGTCTTGATAACATAAAGGGTGATTCTACTTACATCACTCTTTTACCTCCTTACACCCTCCATATGAGATTGTTTTTTTCTTCCAAATTTATCCATGTGTGATATTACTTAGAAGAACAAAACACTAAAATTAAATATATTTGATTATCTCTTTACACCCCTTGATCTTCCATCCCTATTTTTTCTTTCTCAACTTTTCTTTTCTCTTACACATCTCTTTTGAAAAAGTGATAATCATAGTGTTTTGATCATCAAAAAAAAGCAATAGATGAAGAAATGATGGTGAAAAACCATCAAAAAAGTGAAATGGTGAGTTTTTTTATTAGTTTGGTAGGTTTTTGTTTCGATTTTCTGGGTTGGTCTGCGACTTTTGTTCGGTGTTTCGAAATCGAACAAAATAACATAGTCCGGCATCACAATGCCGAACAAAAAATATAAGTCTGGTATCAAATTGCCGAATAAAAGATACATTTCCGGTAAATTACAGAACAAAAAATACAAGTTTGGTATCAAATTGCCGAAAAAAAAAATATAAGTCTGGTATCAAATTACCGAACAAGCCCAAATTATCACTTGGAACAAAGTGGCTCTGTAAATGTATAGCAACAAAATGCTAGACAAATCTATTTTTTCCAGCAACATAACTTGGAGTAATTAAAATTCACTAGCATTTTATTATCGAACAGGCCCAGCACAAATTATTACTACATTATTTGGAAGGAAGTGGCTCTGTAAATGTATAGCAACAAAAGGCTGGAACAAACAATTTATTCCAGCGTTATAGCACCGAAATTTTGTAAATTGTTTCGCATTGTGTGACCAAACAGGCACTTCAATGTGGACTCTACTGATTTTGTTGGGAAACGAACTGAAATTATCCAATTGAATGGTAACATAATACTGGGAAACAAAATTTTATCCGGTAACATGGAACTAGAGTAATTCAAATTGTTTAGCATTGTATTATCGAACAGGCCCAGTACAAAGTATGGGTGTAAAGAGATGGGTTTTGAAGAGTTTTTTATCATAAGGTTTGTTTTGGTAATATATTAGGTGTATTGAGAATTTAATTTTTTTTTTAAGTGGTGTAATGAGATGGAGGGTGTAAGGAGGTAAAAGAGTGGTATAAGTAGAATCACCCTAACATAAAATATTATATTTAATCCACAATTATTATATTCTTTCTTTCACAAAAAAGTCAAAAAAATTAAAAACCCTTCTCAAATCAAATTTTTTAACTCCAGGCTAAAATAGTCAAAAAAGTTAAAAAGCTAAAAAGTCAACCCACTTTCCAAACCAAGCCAATATATGTTAGATGGATCCAACCCCATATGTTTAAGCCTTTAAGTAGATGCATATTTGAAATAACATGTATTGATTGGACACTTTGGATTCCCTAACATAAATCAAGGTATCGACTCTTAGGATTCTGTAACAAAAACTTGCTTTAAATGAAATACAATCTCCTCTTAACAAATTCAAACAATAATTCATTGTTGCACGCAGAATTATTATTAGTCAATCACATTTCAATAAAGAGTAAATTGCAATATATTTTTTACCATAGATATAAACAAGCATGAAAACAAACATATAATGTTGTTAATTGACATAAATAATTTTGGATACAAGCTCCATTACAATACAAAGAGAGTAAATTACACACATTGGGTACTTTTTTTTTCCCTTTATTCACTCTTCAAATCTTTAGCACACATTAGGTAAAAATACCTTTATTTAGAGTAGTAGTTTTGATATTACAAAGCGAGACAATTATCTAGAAACACAAATCATAGGAAGCATTACACAACAAAACCATAAGTAAGGTAGATATCACATAACTATAGGGAGTAGCTCTTCATGGTTGACAACTACAAAAAGGAAATTAAAACTCAATAGGAAACTAGCAGTATATTTCTATTAAGGATAAATATCTATATTTTGCTATATATAATGTTTATTTTTTGTTTTTTATTTTCAGAAACCAAAAAAAAATTTCAAAATTTCCAAAACACCATTGTCTTCATATTGTTTTCATTTTTGCACAAAAATTGTTTTTGACATTGCGGAAATAACTTTTTGATGTTACTTAAAAAATGGGACAGATTTTAGAAAAAAGTTTCTGAAAAAAGTTTTCGACAAAAAATTCACCAAACAAGTCTATATGTTTTGTAATGTCAAATTCCTTTTAGATAAGAATTGTATGATTTTTGGATATGGGTTGAGGTAAATCATGAATTGTCCACTTGCTTATGAGAGTTATTCCTAATAAATTCATAATCTGGTTCATAATCTAATTAAGTTTCATCCTGTCTTGCCTGAAAGAAGAAAAAAAAATAGGAAAGGTTATGATAAGAAACATTGATAATGACAAATATATATATATATGTATGTGAAAATCTTGATAATATTGTCTATGTGGATCGACATCAAGATATTTAAACAACCTATGCATGATTTCATAGGTTGACAAATCTATCAGTTGAACGGGTCTCAAAGAAAATATGTAGATTTGAAGGCCAATTAATTTTATTTATTCCTTATGTAGTAAAATTTACAATGAAACTCACAACATTTTTAGATTACTTATCGATTGAATAAAGATTTTACACAATGTACAAGGACCACATACTCCTCTGAGGAATGTAGCGAGTAAGCATTCTCCCCCTCTTCCACTTTTTCATGAGTATCATCACTCCAAGTCATGGCCTCTATCACGTTTGATTGATTGAATATCATTTTTGTTAAATTTTTTTTAATGAAATATTTAATATAAATATATAGAGTGTAGCACAATTGACTTAATGACAACTCAATCATTATTTTGCCATTAAGGCAATGGCCTAAGGTCTCACTGCCTATTCAACAATTGAAAATACTTGCACATATTTTGTGTGCTTACGAATGAGATTTTGGTCATATATAAGGGGGTGTATTGAGGATATAAATAATAAAGTTGTCCCTATTTCTAGTAACTAAAACTTTTGGATGAGATGGTGGTTAACAATCTAACATAGCATTAGAGCACGCAATAGATCCTGTGTTTAAACCTCACTACCAACCCAAGAATTAAAATATTTGCACGTTTTTGGCCCGCTTACGAAAGAAAGTTTGGCCATATGTGAGGGGTGTGTTAAAAAAATAATTAAATTTATCTCTTTCTCTAATAGTTTAAGCTTTTAGATGAGGTTGGTGGTTAACAATTCGAAATCATGGTATTAGAGCATGCAATAAATACTGTGTTTGAATCTCACCATTTACCGATAATTAATATATTTGCACATTGTTGCAGGGGTGTTAGTCATGGCCTAGAAAGGGGGCCTTGAGCTTCCCCTAGGGTTAATCAGATTTCGACAAGTGTTTAAGGGCATTGAATGCTTACAAGACAGATTTGTGAGCTGTTTATATTGTTGCCAAAAGTAGTAAATAGGATCTTACCAAGAGTAGTAATTTTTCGCAGTGAGAGTTGTTTATAACTGTTGCTAAATAGAATTGAAAAAGGGTGATATGACTGAAAGGAACTCAACCAATATGAAGTTGATAGCACATATCTGTCCGAAGTTAGAATCCAATAGTCTATAGGACAACTGGCTCTTTATCCTTTGTTGCCTCTACTAGAGGATGCTAACTTGGACTTTGGGCACTTTCATGCCTTCCAAACCACTACTCCAAAAGTATCCCCCTTAGACATGAGTTGGCCACTTATCAACATACCTGAAGATCATCGCAATGATCTAGTCCCTCGATTTTTTAGGGAGAAATGGGTCGAAAATGGCCTTTGCTGAATCGGGCCAGGCTGATCTCTCAAGGACGAGTAAGGTTGGACCAAGCCATGGGAGGTACTAGGCTCAACTCTGGCTTGTCTCCCAGGCTTTAGATTGGGGTTGGGCAGCCGTGGGCTACTGCTGAAAAGGTTGGAAAGCTCGTTTTGTTGGGGTGAAATGACTCTTGCTTTGCTTCAGTAATGAATTTGAGCCATTGTTTGCTTTGAGTTGTTGTATCAAGTCCATGAGGCACTTGCCCATGTGTTTTGGGGTTGTTCTGATGCCGAAATGAGCCAAAAGTGGACCAGTCTGGAGGCTTTTTTTCTTGGGCTGCTGCCAAGCCACTTTAAAGTTCTTTGACTTTATTTGGATGGTTGACCCCATGTCTTTGTGGGTTATTGTGGGCTGGACTGAGCTTGAAGAGGCTTGAATAGATTGAATGTTTGACACTAAATAACCGAACATTTTACACTTATTTGAACTTATAGGACCGAACAAAATTTAACCGAACGACAAGCTATGTCTTATCAGTGACTCTCTGTTCAGACTTATGTGTCTGAACATTTTCATATTGTTCGTCCTTAGTAATGAGAGACTCAGAGTCCCAAACGAAATGCATAATGAAGATGCAGTTTCACAAATAACAGCTCAATGGCAGAGTTAGCAGTGTTTCTGAAAGCATCATCTGTTAAAACCTATCACCTACTCCACCTACTACACCTACCACCAAACCTACCATCACCTACTCCACCTACTACACCTACCACCACCTACTCCACTACACCTACATCTCCTATATAAGGAGCCCCTCACCATTTGTAATATACAACATACATCAATCAATAATACATCAATTTTAACATGGTATCAGAGCAGGTTTAGAACCTAGCATTTTTCGCTTCACCGGCGGGCGGCAACCTCACCTTAGCCGTCCGCCGGACCTCAATCTATTCCGCTCTCCCCTTCGTCGCCGCCTTGCTTTTCATGCTCTCTGCTCTCCTCTTCGAAGCTCTCTCTGTTCGCTTCGTCACCGCCGTTCTCGGCCTCGATTGGCACCGTAATACTGCACCTCTTCCGGACACTGGGCAGTGGTTTCTGTTGGCAATGAACGAGAAACTTCCTCACACAATGGTTGAGATATTGAGAGCCCATGTAATTGGGCTACACCATTTCCTGATGTTGTTTATAATGTTGGCATTTTCTGTGCTATTTGACTCTGTAAAAGCTCCTAGTCTTGGGCTGGGTGCAAGATACATATTCACCATGGCGATTGGGCGCCTTCTTCGGGCCATAACTTTTGTGTCTACGATTCTGCCATCAGCTCGGCCTTGGTGTGCATCAGCTCAAAAATATTATGTCCCTTATGCTTCTGATGCCAACGCTATACGCCAGCTTATCCATCTTGAGAGAGCTTTTGATGAAGTTGCAAATTTCATTGAAGATCCCCGTCCAGATTGGGGATCAATGAACTTCTTAATTGATTTCTTGCGACCCAATGCTTTCGAAGGATCTTCATGGTATCATCTTCTGAAAAAGGCTGGAGGCGGCTGCAACGACCTCCTATACAGTGGCCATATGCTCGTAGCAGTCCTCCCAGCTATGGCATGGACGGAAGTTTATGGAGGTTTTAGCTCAGTTCTGATATGGCTACTAGTAATGCACAGTGCCCAGAGAGAAGTACGGGCACGCCACCATTACAGTGTGGATTGTGTCGTGGCCATCACTGGTCAAGTCCCCAGGCGCATCCCTTTCTCTCCACCAGACCCAACTTCTTTTTACTGTGATGATGAGTCCACGGATAGCCCCCCGAGACACCACCTCCACCCACATGGGTTGGTTCCCACTTTTTCATCAATATGTTCACTCTCTTCCACTTTCTTTTCTTTTCTTTTCTTTTTTTTATATCACCCACTCCCGCTTTTTCTTATCACCCACGAGACTACTCACATGCACCACCCACTATCTCTTAAAATAATTTATCATTTTTCCCACCCAAAACCTCATCATAATATATTCTATCTATATTTTAATATGTACATATATACATATATATAAATTGAATTCAATTTCTTTTCTTTTTTCTCTTTTCTTTTCTTTTCTATCTATACATATATATTATTATTATTATTATTATTATTATTATTATTATTCAACCAAAAAAAATAAAAAATAAATAAAAAACTGACTTCTTTTAACTTAAAAAAACTAACTTTTGAAGGTAAAAAAATTGGGTGATTATTCAGTACTCCCAGAGTATGGACACGTGGTGTTCCATAAGGTTTTGATTGGTGAAGAGACACGAGGGCCCACGATTTATGTTGGAGATGGGGGGACAACATGGGACTAACTAATTGGTGATTGGTTTGGAGTATGAACATGCAGTGCTCCGAAAGTATTGAATAATTTCCCAAAAAAATTACTTTTTTAACTGTTGCCAAAATGAGCCTCAATCTTCCACGACCATTTCTTCAGTGTCTATACTCCCCGACCTAACTTCCAAAAAAAGGTCTATACTCCCCCAACCACACCAACAGCTTTGTTTTCTTTTCTGCAGCCGACCACCCATCGACCTCACTTCTTTGCCTATTCCGCCGGTCTTTTCTTCTTGCCTCCGTCCTGGGCGGCCCTTGACGGTGTTGCCTCCGTGTTTCCCACTCCACTGGGCACGATCACTCCACCCTGCTCCTCCACTATAGCATATGGCGGACCTCCAAATCGGAACATAACGGTGGCCTTCCGCTTCAGCTCCTTATTTTCCGCCTTTAGCACACTTATCTCTGCTCGCGCATCCTTATACATGCGCTGGAGCAGAGCCAGCTGGGCGTTTAACTGCTGCACCTCATTTGTCCTACTCTGAAGCCGGTGCGACAAGTTTGTGACCGCAGTCATGGTCTCCACACATGACTTCAATGTATACTGATTGGCCTCAATATCCGTTTGCACTGCCATTTTTTGCTCCACAGACCGCATCGGAAAGTTCAACGGAGCAAAACCGGAGGTGTTTGGTTGAGGTTCACGGGCCACCGCACCAGTTATCTCTCTTGTTGACTCGTTGAGGTCGGGAAAAAGAGTGAGCAGACCACGGGAAGACGAAGCCATGTTTTGGGTTGCTGAGTGTTTCAGCGAAGCAGCGATTTCCGACTAGTACTTTCAGAGAAGGGTTGGTTACAGAGTGTTTACAGAGCATTTCAGACTGCAAATATTCAGAGGTTTCAGACTGGTTTGCACAGCCTCCGCCTCAACCTTGGTTTAAATAGCCAGGGCCGATACGCGCATCGCGCGCCACTTGACGCTCGACGACAACATGGGCGCGCCTTTTGATGGCACGCCTTTTGAAAGATTGGGCACACCTTTTGAGGGTGCGACTTTTACATCGGTCCGACATGACCCTCTAAACTGTCCCGACATTGCTTCCGGTTAGCTTTTCCAACGGTCCGACATGACCACATAAAACTGTCCCGACATTGATTCCGGTTAGCTTCTCCATCGGTCCGGTGTGACCTTGTCATCTGTCCAGACTTTATCTGCTACAATGGTCTGCCACAACCATCCAGTGTCCTCTACAACGTTATGACACAACCATCCAGTTTCTTCACCAACGGTCTAACACGACCATACAGTGTCTCCTATACTCTTTTATTTTATGTATTAGTCTATTTTCTTGTTTTGTTACTCTCTCCAAACTCAAGTTGGTTAGTTCTTATCCCCCTTGAGTTTGCGGGGGCTGTTAAAACCTATCACCTACTCCACCTACTACACCTACCACCAAACCTACCATCACCTACTCCACCTACTACACCTACCACCACCTACTCCACTACACCTACATCTCCTATATAAGGAGCCCCTCACCATTTGTAATATACAACATACATCAATCAATAATACATCAATTTTAACATCATCCAATATAAAAAGGATCCTATTCACATCCTCGAGTCTTGTACATTATATAATTGATCTTTCAGTTTCATTTGGCTGATCAATTATTCTCAAACCCAACACATCAGCTATTTGATGTTGAATATTTTTAATGTCTGGGTGCCAAGACACTATAGCCGTCAAAATCTCATCAAAAGCTTATCCAATTTAACTTCTTTTTTTTTTTGCCAATTTCTCTTACCAAAGTTGCCTTTCGAACAACCCAAATACCATGTATTCCGAAGAAATTGATTTTGTCATTTCACATTGCCAAATTTGTGGTCTCATAAGTCAAGAGCCTTTCTAAGGGTATGAATTATATCCTCAAGGAACGTGTAGAGCTGGATTTGTCATTGAAGTTGCTTTCTTTCCATAGCACTTTAGCCTCATCCTTTTTCTCTTTTGCTTCTTTTCCTAGCGGAAACATGTGACCAAATCATCTGTCCAAAAAAAATAAATAAATAAGGAAAAACAAAAGTGTGACCAACTCAGAAAACCACCAATTAAAACACTCTCGTTCACATTACTTCCACCTTCCAAAGACTCTTAGCCCTTCCTATGAACCCATTAAGTTTTTCAATCTACTGCTTGGCATCTTCATGAATTTCTTCCTAATCCTAATTGCTAGATAAATGAATCCCTGAACCCTATCTCTCATAGCCTCTAATGTTTCAACTTCACTTCTTAGACTTCCAACCTTTTTCTTTTGATAAATCAGACAATTGAATTGATGCTTAACTGGCTTCACAAACAATTTAACGACGTTAACTTTTCCACAATGTAAATCAAAATATCTGCCATGTCTGAGGAAAAATATTGAACAAGCAACACTGAAATTTGCTAGAATATTACTGTTATTAATAACAAGAAAACTTGTGTCTGGATCTACTTCTTACACTTAAAATCTTTGGATTGAATTTTTGACATTGAATCTTTGATATTCTATGGTAGCTAAAGGATATGGTAGGGCTGTGGTGTCATTGGTAAGATTGGTATGTCTCGTTAGATCCGGAAAATGTTTCTGCAATGTTTTCTACTTTTAAAAAATGAAAAACATTTTCCATCAAAATTAGGTCATCTTCTTGAATGCTGAAAAACATCTTCCATTGACTTCTATGTTCCATTGTACCAAACTCTAAAATACGAAAACAACTTTTTTCGCCGAAACAAACTTACATGATGAATATTGAAGATGATTTATTTCTTTCTTCATCTTTCTTTCTTGCCTTTTATTTTTTATTTTTTGCATGGACAATATGGTGTTATTTGGAGCACAATTTAGAGCTATTTAATACTTCAGATACGGGGGGAAAAAAAATTACATACTAAAAGGTCACTAAAAAATAACTACTATTCTTGAGCTAAGTTGGTTTTTGTGTGTTTACATATATGAATTGTGGGTCATGCTAATCGCAACTCACATGTCATTAAGGTAAAGAAAATGCCAAAATATTTAGATTTTCAGTGCACCTTACGTTTCTGCATTATGAATAGAATGCAATGCAACTTAGCTCATGTAGACATACACAATTCAAATTAACTCAGACATAGTTACCTTTGCATTATGAATAAAATAAGCAATGGGCAACAGTTAGCATTATTTATATATTCAATTTCATAAATTATTGAAAAGGGCAAAGCTAGAATTCAAAGCTTACCTCTCTTTCTGTAAACAATTGCGGGAAAGGCAAATAGCTGCTGCAGGCTTCACAATGGAGATGGAAACCCCAATGTTCTATTGTTAAGAAGATGAAAATATTCTTTTCTTGGTTTGTTGTATGCTGGCACAATGTTTGATACTTTGCTTCCAGGGATGACAGGTGGCAAAGAGCATATACTAGCTCCTTTTTCTCTTTTCCTTTTCCTTTTCCTTTTGATATTCTTTCCTTTTCTTGAGAAAAATGTTATACACAGGCTTGACTCACTGAATTTTCACATAGACAGACAAAGGCAATGAGTCTACATGTATAAATAATGATGATAATGATGATGACAGATATAATGATAAGAATTTAGAAGACAAGTGAGCTGTCCATTAAAGAACCTTACAACAGTTCAATAGCACAGTTAGCAGTGTTTTTACAGTTACTGGTAAATGGAGTTGGGCTGCAATTTTACTGCTCTGTTTCAGTCAAATTGTCTATTCCTGCTAAATTTGCTCCCAAATCCCAATTGTTTTGTTATGGTTTTTGTTAGGTGGAAAATTACTACTAATGTATGTGTGCACAAGCACGTAGACAGTCCTCCTTGAATTGGATGAGAACACAAAAATATAATTATTAAAACCCCAATTCTCAAACAATTACTCTATCAAATAATTAAAAGATGAGCTTTTCCGACTTGTTCTTTTTGGAATAGGAGTGAATAAAGTAGTTTTTGCTAACTCTATCCAGCAAAGTAATTTAACCGATTGGAATAGGAGCATTAGAGTTGAAAAGACTTTCTTCTATAGATCACAAGGTATTATGAAAATGTACAATACAATCAAGTATATCGCAATGTCGAATTTAGATGACTAATTCAAAGCCAAACTAAAATGTAAACATGAACTTTATTTAAATTAGCATCCAAATAGTGTAAAGTGAGGCTCCTGTTCAGAAACACTAAGGACAGCAAGCACACCTCTGTACAATCTCAGCCTTCTTCACTGCTAGCAATACTTGCTGCAACAAAAAAACAAATTAATTATGATAATTATGAAGGTGAGTTCTATTGGTACTTCATCTAGCATCAAGCATGCACACACAAACTGAGGTGCACACAAGCTAAAAGGTGAGCATTAACAGAGCTTCCATCGAGATAAAGTTAATTGGTTCTCAGATCGCTCTTCAAAAGCAGCTTGTGCTTTCTGAATATAAGAGAAATATGTGAAACCATTTTTAAGCAAACAATAAACTGTGAAGTCATTGTTCACTAGTACTGAAGGTCTGAAATGTTTGTTTGATGGTTCTCAAAAGTCAACTCAACTCAACAAGCCTTTATATTTCACTTCTATGTCTAAACAGGGTCCATGTATTTGGCCTAAATATTCTGGACAAACGCTGTACATTGTGTTCTTCAGAATTTCTTTTATTTTTTTATTTTTTTGATCAGGAAAAGGGAAATTTATTGATGAAATTGAATTTGTTGCAAAGTAAACACAACAATATACATCAACAAAAAGAGTTGGCAAGACACCAACAAACAGGGACCAGAAAACCAGAGAGAGAGAGAGAGACGGAGATTACCTTGACATTGAAGTGCGTTTGCATAATCAGAAGAAGACCTTGGAGGGAGCGGCAGAAGTAGAAGTCTTGATTTTAGAGCAATCTTTCTCAATTACTCATTCGAGGATGACCATTCAAAGCAGATCTCCCGGTACAGAAACTATAGAGATGTGAAAGATGTTCCGATTTTTTTTTTTAGATTTTTGAACACCATCTTATCCACTATAGCTTCTTGTTCTTCGTTCCCTAGGTTTTTCTTTACAATAATGTCCTCCAACTTCTCACAGTCATATCGAACCAAAATTTCTACTGAGACGTTAGCCTCCTCAGGAAACAAAACACAAAGCAACAAGCAGGACTTGGATTCCTCATCCGGCAGGTAATCATAGCTCAACATAAGACTGAATTTCTATGGAATTCTTGAAAATTTTATACCTTCAGTCCACTTCAAATGAAATGTGGTGCCAAGTCGTAGGAATAAAATCAGTGGCATATCTAAAGTGTAGAATTTCCCAATTACATAATAATGTATTAAATAGAATTACCTCTGCTTTGAAATGGATTTGCACAAACTGATTCAAGTCCATTCCCTGCAGCGGTATTTTCTCGAAGTTATCAAATACAACTTCCTTCAGTGTTGGTGTGCTTTGGATCCCGCTGGAAGTAGTGGCAACGGCAGCGAGAATCTTCATTTTGGGCCACTCTCTCACTCTTAGTTGTTCCAAGGATGACCATTCAAAAGGAAAGTCGTCTCCTGTGCAGAAAGCACTTAGGTTAGGTTTGGAAGGCATTCAAGCATGATTACTTTTGAAGACTTTTGAACTAGAAATATGAGAAGTAAAAAGGTCCATGTCGGTAGAAAAGCAAAAGAAAAAGTCTGAGTAGATGTTTGGATAACCTACAAAAGGGAAAAAGTCAAAGTTAAACGGTTAAAAGTCGACAAAAGTAGAATGATGGTTTCAATTTTACTACTCTCACCGTCCCAAAATAATAGTCCCTTTTGAGAAATTTAACTTTTTTTGATAGTACAATTATTGTATTTGAAAAAAATTAATTTTTCAAAATTATCCTTTTGATAGTACATTTTTTGAGAATATCAATGCATAATTGTACTTTTTATGTTGTTTATTAATTTAAAAGAAGGGTAAAATAGGAAATTTATATTATTTTTGTACTTGATTTTTGAAGAGAGACTAATATTTTGGGACAATGAAAAATGGAATAAGGGACTAATATTTTGGGACGGAGGGAGTATAATATTTTGTTATGTCTCTTTTTTATAAAAAATTAAAAAATTATTCAAAACGTATATTTTTTTCTCTACAATTTTAATAAAAAAATAAAAAAAATGTACTTATATAGATCCTCCCAAACAACCCTTTAATATATGTTAGATGGGTCCACCCCTATATGTTTAACCCTTTATGCAGATTCATGTTTGAAATAACGTGTATTGATTCTATGTATGGACACTTTGGATTTCCTAACATAAATCAAGGTATCAACTCTTTGGATTCGGTAACAAAAACTTGCTTCAAATGAATTACAATCTCCTCTTAACAAATTCAAGCAACAATTTGTTGTTGTACTCTAAATTATTATTAGTTAATCACATTTTAATAAAGAGCAAATTGCAATATATTTTTTACCATAGATACAAACAAACATGGAAACAAACATACAATACTGTTAATTGACATAAATAATTTTTGATACAAACTCTATTACAATGCAAAGAGAGTAAAATTACACGCATTGGGTACTTTTTTTTTCCCTTTGATTCACTCTTCACATTTTTAGCACACATTAGGTAAACATACCTTTATTTTTTTTTTAACAAATACACCTTTATTTAGAGTAGTAATTTTGATATTGCAAAGCAAGACAATTATATAGAAACACAAATCATAGGAAGCATATGCCTTTACACAGCGAAATGTGAAGTAAGATAGACATCACATAACCATAGGGAGTAGATCTTTATGGTTGACAATTGAAAAAAGAAAATGAAAACTCAATAAGAAACTAGTAGTATATTCCTATTAAGGATAGATATCTATATTTTGCTGTATATAATGTTTGCTTTTTGTTTTTTGTTTTTTATTTTCAGAAACAAAAAAAAAAATGAAAATTTCAGAAACACCATTGTTTTCATTTTTGCACAAAAAATAATTTTGACATTGCGGAAATAACTTTTTGGTGTTTCTTAAAAAATGGGACAGGTTTGAGAAAAAAATTTGAAAAAAGTTTTCAACAAAAAATTCACCAAGCAAGTCTATATGTTCTATAATAGCAAATTCCTTTCAGATAAGAGTTGTATGATTTTTGGGATAGGTTGAGGTAAATCATGAATTGTTCACTTATGGGAGTTATTCTTAATAAATTCATAATCTGGTTCATAATCTAATCAACTTTCCCCCTGTCTTGCCTGAAAGAAGAAAAAAGATAGGAAACATTATGATAGGAAACATTGATAATGACCAAATATATAAATAAATATATATATATATATGTGTGTGTGTGTGTGTGTGTAAAAATCTTGATAATATTGTCTATGTGGATAGACATCAAACTATTTAAACAACCTATGCATGATTTCATAGGTTGACAAATCTATCAAGTGTTGTTGAATGGATCTCAAAGAAAATATGTAGATTTTGTGTGGATGATTTTCTGACCACACTGCCAAACAGGTACCCAGCTGGAGAACACCGGCAGAATAGATTAAGCCCGAATGACCTGCAATAGAAAGAAGAGTTTTCGACGGTGGCTCGTCCACCCGGGGGCACTCCGATGATCAAGTCAGTACTCAATATCTCTCAAAGATAACCAATAGTGCTTAACTCACTAGACAGAATATCAAAAGCATAAAAGACATACTTTAGACCCATGAGGGTGCCTCTCTTTTATAGCCAACATAATCCTAGTCCCAATAGAAGCCTAGCTCCAATATACTTAAGATTACTGCTAATCTTGGACTCCCAGTTGAATTAGGATAAACTCTTTGAAAGTCTTATCTTAATCCAAACTGAAGTCTTCTCCCATTCTAGGACTCTTGTCCTTTATCTGCTTATCTCGGATTCCGGTATCTTCGGAGATAACCTCGGCCTTGCCGAAATCACCTCGGCGTCATGACCAGGACACATAGCACCTCGGCTGGCACTTCGGTGACACCTCGGCCACGTGTCGTTATTCAAAATTTTTATGTCCCCACAGATTTGAAGGGCAATTAATTTTATTTATTCCTTATGTAGTAAAATTTATAATGAAACTCACAACATTTTTAGATTACCTTGAATAAAAATCTTACACAATGTATAAGGACCACGCACTCCTCAGAGAAAGGTAGCAAGTAAGCATTCTCTCCCTCTTTCACTTTTTCACAAGTATCATCACTCCAAATCATGGCCTCTATCACTTTTTGATTGATTGATTGATTGATTGAATATAATTTTTGTTAAAATTTTTTTTTTAAAAAATGCTTCATACCACTAATTTAGCACCACTAATGCACCACTAATGATGTGGCATCATGTAAACCCCACCACTGATGTGATAGTTTGGTCTTTGTTTTGTTTTATTTTTTTTCTTCTTTATATTGCCACCTCATTAGTGGTGTTTTTAGAGCTTCAAATTTAGTGCTCTAAATCACCACTCTTTTTTTTTTTGTTTAATGAAATATTTAGTATAAATATATAGAGTGTAGCACAATTGACTTAATGACAACTCAATCATTATTAGGCCATTAAGGCAATGGCCTAAGGTCTCACTTTTGGAATTCGGCAAAATTGAAACAAAATAATAATAATAATAATAATAATAATAAAAAATAAAAAAGACCTCACTAATCAAAATCTAATATAAAATTTATTAAAAGGCATAAAAACAAAAGAAAATATAAAAGGAAAAAAGAAAAAAGAAATCCATTGTTAGCATTTTATTTTTCCTTTTCTTTTTTTATTTATTTAAGTGAAGGCATTCTCTCAATCCACTAGGTCTTTTCCATCTTTATCCAAAGGCCTAAAAAAATATTCATTATCGAAAGGTCTTTATACTAAAATTTGATAAAAATCTTCCAAATAAAAATATAACTATTTAAATGACCAAAATAATCTAAAATGAAATATCAAATAAAAAGTAAACAAATTGTAACAAAAAATACTCAAACATCAATTTTCTGGCATTTTTAACTGTAAAATGACTAATTTAGTTCATATAATCTAACTTATAATTAAGCTAAATTATTTTCGTTGGGTAAAATTGCTAATAAGATTTAATTAACTTTAATTTGAAAAGAGTAATTGCAAGTAATATAATTAATCATATTCTACAAATAATCCATACATTTGAAAAATAACTATTCAATAATTTCAAACAATTCACCACATAATAAGTTTTTTGGTTTCTTTTGATAAAAACAACTATCTATTATTTTTAAATAATTTATCATATCAACCATCCATTAATTTTAATCATAGCTGAATTTTGTTGAAATCTTTTAAATTTCAATAAGATTTTTTTTTATAGGTTAATATAATTTAACAAAATATTTTAAAAAAAATTTAGTCAATTTTCTGAGATCCAAAGCCGGCCAGAGAAAGAAGGGCCAGTTTCTTACTTTTGTAGCTAAATTGTTACAGATACATTAGGTTTATTCAATAGGGGAAATATTGTCTTTCATCAATGTCAATGAAAGCTATATGAACTTAAATCGCACCATTAGATTTCTTTGGTTTAATATGAATTGGCAGCCCTTGATTGAAAACTGGCATTGGATCTCTACAGAAATAATCATCAATGCAGGAAAGCTTCCATGTGGATTGGGTCACCAAGTAATGAATCATAGCTAGTGTTTTAATTCTGGCGAACTCATACCCAAGGCACATTCTTGGTTCTCCTTCAAATGCCACAAAGCAGTACGGAGGGTGTAATCACCCTATTTTTGACCGCCCGTAAGACTTGGGCACCTCAGGTTGATCACTCAATGATGAAAAGTTATGCTGTATAAACATTCGATTTCTTCAACAAGAAAAGCTTCTAAATCCCAACCTCACACCCAATTTTAGACCAAAACTATTTTATATCTTAAAACCCTATTTTTCAAAATACTTTTTCCAATGTTTCTACGATGTTTCGAGGCTCGTATTTCGTTTAAAATATTACACTTTTCGGTAAATCGAGTAAGGAAAAAGTGGAAATAAGTGGAAGCGAGGTGAAATTTTGAAAAATATTTAAAAAACATCTTATTTATAGGTCTGGAGTTGAAGGAAATAGGAGGGAAGGGAAGAAAACTAGAGGTTAGGCATCAAACCGTTAAGGAAAAAATGAGCAACCTTCACTAAATTAGACATATTTCTTTGTACACTTAGAATTTATTTGTGAGGCCACCACCATTGGAAATTCGACTTCTGGAGCTTCAATTTAGGCTCACGAATCATCTAAAACCAAGTTCGAATGAGGGAGATATGGCTGTTTGAAGTTGGGCATCAATCCATTAAGATAGAAATGAGTAGCCTTCACTAAATTAGGCATATCTCTTTGTACACTTAGAATTTAGATGTGAGGCCACCACTATTGGAAAGTAAACTTCTAGGGCTTCAATTTAGACTCAATAATCACATGAAACCGAATTCAGATGAGGGAGATATGCCTGTTTAAAGTCGAACTTGAGAGCAATTTTTTGTGACCGGCCGACCAACTTTTAGTAGTCGGTCGTCCCCCACTTGGCCGGCTAGCCAGGTGTCCCGAGAGGCAGGTATTTACATCCAGGTGTCCCTATAGGC